ATGATCGGAGTCTCGAAGAGATAGTGAGATTCCTAATTTTATCTGTATTATACTTGTATTATCATATAATACATATATATGTATAGTCACATAGTGTTCTCAATTTTGTACCCAAATGGTGGAATATGGATTTCCACAATTTGTTGAAGGGGAAACTGAATTATAAATATCTTAGCTTTAATGACAAGCAAGTGATTCAAAGGTTCAAAGGTCAAGGATATAATTGACAAATCCCAAATCGATTTATTTTGTGGCAAAATCATTATATGTTCCGAGTTAGGTTTGGGCTTACAGATTTTATCTGTAAAAGCCCCAGGAACGTTCACTTTTACCTTATATTTCCAAATCTTACCACATGAGATTACTACTTCTATAGCAACTAGTTTGTGTACACAGTGAAGTAAATAAATGAATCATTAACATGGAGGTACTGATATATCAATGTGTTCAAATATGTGTGTGCCCTTGCGAATGTCTTTACAATGTATAGAATAGAGTATAATCTTAAAAAGGGTGATTTGCATATTTGTACATCTTAATGCTACACTGGCACTAAATTTTGAAATTTGGTCACAAATTGTCCTTTGAATGTCAAATGTTTTATATTCATTTTCTACAGTTTAATTGCTGGCCACAAAAATGCTTAAAACAAATACTATAACCGGTGTTCTATGTAGCCTAATATAAACCAGTGAGGTCGCTTCACAATGTGAATTCCACAGTTAACACCATGACAAAAAATCTCGTGACTTCATTGTTTAGTATTGGGGCGTTCACTATGTCTCAATTTCATTTGAATAGCATATAACGGCATTGAGGGCTTATGTGTTGAGCAATTGAAGCATTTTCTTTCACAATCACTACCTTCAAAGTTTCACAGTATGACCAACAAGACTTTGATTCAATTCATAAATAATAGATAAAACCGATATATTATTGTTTCTTAATTTTGTTCATTTCCATATTCAAACACAGTGAACATGGCCTAATTTAGAATACATTCGATATTTCATATTCAGAAATTATTTTAAAATTCAGAATAGTAATATATTCGCTTCTGGCTATCCTTGTTCAATAGATTGTTCTCTTATTTTGTGATGCCAATTTTTCCAATATTGGATCTAGGTTTTTTAAGAAATATCTCTTGAAACTAAAGTATATTACTCAAATAAATGTAAAGATTGGGTTGTCATCCGGATTCAGTACAGCATAATTTCAATCAATCTCATTTCCTGTATTTTCCTGTTTCACAAAATGTTGAAGCTTTTTATTCTGAAAGTACATCGCTTTATAAATTTGCATCCCTTGATTAATAATTTCCTGTGTTGTCAGAGTTGTCATTATTCAATTCCGGCATCCGCTACGCATGCTGCTGCAGTATGCTCAACTTCTCAGTAATAATATATTTGGACGAAAATATTTCCATATGTGAAATTGGATGCATATGCCTTGTGACTCTATGTAAATACCAATCTACATGAAGCTTAGAGCTTGTTTTGATTGATCACTGTACTGGCTTACAGTTTTTTAAAGTAGGATGTTTTTGTTAGATGTTATTTATACATAGGACCATATTTATTTCACAATTTACTCAAACGCAGATATTTTTACTTAAGTTATATTGTTTGTTTCACATGATTAGTATGTAGATTATTTCATTGATATATTGTCTTCATAATATCCAAAGCTAAATTTCCTGTTAACTAGAAATAGCCTAGACTATTTCACATCTTCAAGTAGCTTCACCTGCAGTTGAACATCTAAAAACTTTTCGATACAACTGTGTATATTCAAACATGGAAATGATAAATCGACCACTGGACGACAATATGCAACTTGAACAATTTTCTCCAAAATTTAAAGTTTTTTATATATAAGGCCGTCTTATTTGTGTGTTTGTTATTAAATCAGGTGTGGTGGTAAATCTAGATAGAATGTATGAATAATTTATTGCAGGCAGCCCTCAATGGCATAGTACATATCAGTGTGTCATAATCCCTCTACCCTTTGGCATTACCAAATGGAAACACACTTGCACGTTCAGACACATTTAAATATTGTGGATAATTTTTGTAGCTTTTTGGTTTGGACACACATTGATGCCTGTGAATCACTTCTTATATATCCCTCAGACTCCCAATCACTTTTATTTCACAGTTTATTAATAACTCTTGATTTTTGACAATCAACATTGTTGCCTTGAGTGACATTTAATAGACTATTTCTCTTAAAATTTATCACCTGTACAAAAGTATGATTTTCAAAATCAATTGTTCAATAATATGTGATAAAGTGTCTGATACTTGAAGCAACTTTGCTAGTCAGGGGAATTGTATGAGGTAATCAAAAGTATATACGGTAGTACCAATGAAGATGCGAATTCTTCCACTGGTCAAATGCAGTGATAAAATCATACCATCAAATTTAATTGATCGAATGGTATTGGTAAATCAATAACTAAATCACTTTTGAATTGAATATTCATTCCATTTAATTTAATTTTTATTATATCTACTGTTTGTATGCTATTGCAAATAATGTAATCCTTATGGTATATTATGCATACACCATCCTCTTTTTTCAGATTCTGAAAATGACCCTCCAGTCACAATGCAGCCCGGTGGTGCTACACAGGAATCAGCTGATAATTCTACTGCAATTCCTTTGCCTATGGGCACCGAAGGCTTCCAATCATCAAATGAAAAAGCTCCGTTAACAACCAATGCAGCACAAACTTCTTATAATGGCATAGAATGATTCACATACTAGGACCGAGCAGTAGGAATGTCAGCACGATTAAGCGACAGAGACACAATAAATCCCCCTTTGAAATTACCTTATTAGTATCAGTTTTCGAGTCCAATCATTATTTATAATTGTGGGTTTGTGTTTACTGTATTAGCCTGCTTGAACTTTGAAACTTTTTAATGAAACATCGAAGTAGGCGAAATAACACTGTTAAAATAAGTACTGGAGAAAATTCAATGTATGATATGTGAAAGTTCAGCATATGCCTGGCTTGTATTAGTTTTTTTGCACATGAAGTCCTTCATTGTAATTATCAAAAATATTTAAACCTCTATAATTTTTAGTCTATTGGGCATTCCTGCTGCTCAGAAATTCTTCTTCATTATGATCAAAAGTTCCTGGTCCTGCACAATTGTGCTTATTAATCAGACATTGTTCACTCCATGCAAGCATCCTACCACTTTGACTTATGGATGGCAGAAAAGGTTGTAGTTCTTCATGTAGATGAGCTATTTTATCAGCTTCCCACCAGTAACAATTATGTCAAGCATTTTCAGTGATCTGATCATAGAGAGAGCATTGTTTTCTGGGTCAGAGCCACTGTAAATAAAATTCTTGTCATTTTATTAATTCCGCCCTACTTTATGGAGCACTTGTTTAAATTAAGGCTTTTTTTTCGTTTGAACTTTTGATTCTTTTTTGTTTATTTGTATCTTCCGATAGATGGTCGTTTAATCATCTCAGTGATATTACAATATTTACCCTGAAGTTTGCACATTGATTATGGGTGCAAGATTGATCACAGCATATCTAATGCAATCAAAGCTTCAGTGGTTATTGTGTTTATATAATACTAGGAATTTTTTTTATCAGGGTATAATCAATCGAAAACCTCTCCTGGTACAAATAATTGTCCACAAGCAATGTGGAAAGCGCCACATCCTAAACTTTGTGTAACAGTGTAAAATTACATAAATGCATAAAACATCATGCTTAGTTCAATATCATCTCCAATAAGTCAACTGCATAATGTTTATAACACAATACGGTGAGTTGTTACCCAGAAAGCCATATGAAAATGCGAACCATGAGCTTCTTTGTTTTAAATGAATCAACATTCACCTTTTTCATAGAAAATTTAGTTTCGATACTTCATAGAGATATAGATAATTACTCTCTATTGACTGCAATACAGATTCTATTTTCTTTATCAATCAATGTGTGTGTTTCAACAACTAATTTTTCTGAATGTATCTATTTATATTATATTAGTCACATTATTTAAAGCATTAGGAAGTTTCAAACCTTAACCAATTCCACTTATCATGCGAGGAATAAATATATTGATATAGAAATAAGTTTGCCTAAAATCTCCCCCCCTGAAGTCTATTTGAATTACCGTATTTAGAATTGAGTGGAATTGTAGCATTTACAATAGTATGATGGCTTGCATGTAACTCAAAACTTAATCTCAAGCTGTTTCATTTATTTAACTGCCAATCTTATGCAACTCGATAGATACTGTTTTTATAAAGAATTTTTTGACTGGATATTATTATATTCTTGTTAAAAATGTATCAAATAGTAGGATTGTTATGGTAGATAGATGTTTTTTGTCTGCTAATATTTCAGCCCCCATTATCTCCTAAATTAGTAGTTTCAAGTTATTTATCTCTACTATTCCAGCTTTTTCCGGTTACAATATTGTCTTTAATGTCAGTTCAAGTGAATAATTACTATTTCTGTTGGTAACCTTTAATAAATTTTAAATTCGATTCAATATAGCCAATTTCTATTGCGATTGATCGAAATCTTTATACTAATTAAAATACGGTAGAGCCATGTATTCTATGATTTGAAAAAAGTTTGTGGGTTGTTCCTCGGCTTAGAAAGAGTCCAGGGGTTGGAACAATAATACAGTGGAAACTTTACTTACAAAAGTAATTCGTTCTGTGAACAGGCAAGCATTTTATGCTGTAATTCGTTCTAAGCCCCTACCAAAACATCGTAGGGAGCCTACCCGCTGGAAAAAACTGGCCAATGGGGGATGGATGGCAGGATGAATAGCCAATGGCAGAGCTGCCCATTTGCTTAAACAGCCAGAATTCGGGGTCTTCCATCATTAGAAGGTTCTTCTATTGTATTCAATTTAAACAAATGGTGTTAGAATGCCTGCCTTAACTGCCGAAAGGTAATTTCAGCATACATTAAGGCCACCCTGTTTCCGAACAAGACTGTTGTAATAGTGTTTCTATCTAATGCTTGGCATATTAGATGTTTTATTCTGTCTGTAAAGTTGTATGCTCATCATTGTAGGAAGTTGAAAAACAGTGCCAGTCGGATCATAATATTAATTGGAAAAGTCAAAAAAATTGAATTGGAGATCATCCTGGCGGCCATCCCATTTGTCTCCCACCTAACACATGAATATGCAAATGATAAATTGACTGTGAACCATGAATGCCATCATTTATGACAATGCGGAATCCTTCCTTTAACTTGAGTTCATTGGCCACTAGTCTTGCAGTGTTCATCAGGTGACCTGAAATTAGAAGAGATAAGATAGCGCTAGACTATTTTTAAAAATTGTAACCTAAGAAGGATATCTTACCTAACAAAAGTGTGTCATCAACAGTTGCTTCGCTTAGTCTAGGGATGGGTTTCTTTGGAATGACAAGAGCATGAACTGGAGCTTGTGGAGAAACATCATGAAATGCGATACACTAAAAACATCAAATAGGATTACTATAATTTCAGTTATGATTGGCATTTGAGCACAGCGTTCATCACCTTGTCATCTTCCATAATTATATTGGCAGGAATGGATTTATCAATTATTTTGCTGAAAATAGTAGCAGTAGCTGCTTGATTTGCAGCAGCATCTTTTGCCCTCTGCACTTCATCCATTCTCTGGGCATTGCAAGTCTGTAACGAAATGAGCAATTAGTCATTTGGTATAGTTCGCCTCCCGACTGCCAGATCTGGAGTCTTTCAAAAAAATTTTCAATTTGGGAATGGTCTTATTCCCCATTCTAAGAACTTCATACATCTAGGCTTTGGAATAACGGGTAATCATTTATTTTTGAAAAGGAAGCAAATAAAACATTTTATTTAGACAACTGCTGCACTGTAAATGGACCATATTTGATATTTAAAACACATGACTATACTATCAGACTATGAAGTGCAGAAGTGCGTACATAATACTGTAACGCAGAATCTGTAAATCAGAATTTACTAAAAAAGGAAAATAGTACCAGTAGAATACGGATATAAAAATGAAAATGTGTTATATCAACCAGTTAAGACGCCAGTTTAACCTACCCATAGCGATCGGCTTTGTGAAGAAAACAATCGGACGGTACGAGAAGCTCCAACCAAAAGTAGATTTAGCAGAGATGAACTCATGTCTGGACTTTGGATGTCGAAAATCGCCCAATGTTGTGATGATTTTTTCCCACCTTTGACCTAAAAAAGTACCTACTTTCTTTTCCTCGACCCTTGACCCCAGAATTTTTTTTAACACTTTACCCATAGCTGTTCCTTGTCTCACCAATACAAAAAATTGATTCTCATTTAGAAACATGCACATTACACATGTACAAGATCTTGCTGGCCCGAGTCACAATACATGGTCCCCAGACCCTTGACCCCAGAAAAATTCTCCATATATTTTACCAAAGCCATTATGATTTTACTACTGCAAAATTTTTGATGCTTATTTTGAGAGCGTTTTGGAGAATTGGCTTTTAGGAATGGTTCAACTGTTCAAAACCATCATTTTTATAAATGCATCTAACCTCATGCCCCTTACAGGTACTGATAGCTAATTTTATCCTATTCTACCGCAGCTTTTCCGAGACTAATTTTTGAATACTGCCAATAAACTTCATTACCTCAAAAGACAAAATGACAATCATTTTCTTTGATTTACGAACAATTCTCAAAAACACAACAAAAAACTGACAAACAACACCCAAAACCCCGAACATGCTTGTATATTTGTCTGAGAGTAAGAAGTGCCGAGCTGCTGCACGAATTGCAATTGTTACTTCATTAATAACTCATTGATGAATGGTTATTGTTGCAGAAATAAACCGATCAATCAATGCTCGGGGAAACAATCATTGTGCGACATCTACCTCCACAAATATAAAAGCAGTTCAGGACTACACTAATTTGGTCAAGATAAATAGTCCCTACACCTCGAGCTGTTTTCAACTCGGGAAAATTGGTATTGTGACGTTAAAATACAATTTCATTTATCCATTTCAATTATGGTGGCGGCTAAAACCCAGATTATACTTTGGCGTACAATATGTAGGCGATTTTGATTTTTGGTGCCTATATATATGAATTGGTTTTTGTTTAAACACACAAATATTTGTGGGTAATTCTTGTCCCAAACAATTACAGTTCAAAACGTTGAAAAAATAAATTTAGTCGAATAAATGAATTTGAGATGATCTACTATCTACTTCATTATTATTGAAAACAAAATAGGCTTAAAAAAATTTAAATGAATGGTTTCTAGCCTAATAATGCAATTTTTGATAAATATAAGATAATATTGATATAGCTCATACCGTGTTTCCCCGAAAATAAGACCTAGCCTGAATTTTAAAAATGATTTTAATATAAGACCTCCCCTCAAAATAAGACCTAGTCGATAAAAAGAAATCTCAACTTCACGTTTTAAATGATTAATAATAAATGTTTTGCATTTCTTTTAAATAAAAACGTGTTATTTATAAGTAAATGGTTTTTTAATAAATGAAAAAATAAGGGACATCCAGAAGTATGCGCACCAAGATGGCGCACAACCTGAACTAAGGTTGTGTACCAGGTTAGGGTTCAGGTTATGCGACATCTTGGTGCGCATACTTCAGGAGTACAAAAATAAGACATCCCCCGAAAATAAACCCAAGTGTTAACATTACGAAAAAAATTGAAATAAGACCCAATCTTATTTTGGGGGGAACACGGTTAGCTATACCAAATAATCTAATAAGTAACCACGAATCTAATAACTATTATACTTTTCACTATTTTGGACTTTTTTTATCGTAGATTATAAATGGGTATTGTGACATCGGTTTTCTGGTGCCATGGCGTTTTATTACAGCCTTGAGTCTTATTAAAGATTCAAGGCTGTAATAATTTTCGGGTGGTAAAGTATTTTTAAAATCAACTCAATATTCAATCTAACTGAGTGCTTAGTGTACGTATCTTGCCTGTAACTAAACTTCAGTATTTCAAGCAATTTTTGTTTGTGACGTCTGAATACATTTCACGACTACACCTTGAACTACTATTATGACGTCATAATAGATTCACACGGACACGTAAGGCTTTAATAAAATGTCAGGTCACCATAAAACACAACGAAATAATACCTGTTTCTTGTTGCGACAGGTGGCCCAATTTCTGATATATTCAACATTATTATCATTTCATTTTTTGTAATAAACGGGTAAACGAGGATAAAAAATAAAAAAAATAGTAAAAAAGTATAATACTTCTTAGATTCGTCGTTGCTTAGATAGACTAAATATTGATTATTTTGTTACGTTTTCTTTTTTTTATAAAAGCAATGTTACAGGAAAAACTGCTCAATTCATTTAAACTAACATCTATTAGGGGTAAAGAAGTAGTATTTTTCCATATTTGGACAAATTTATTTATTCGATCGTATTTAATTTTTCGTGAATTATTAACCTGGTCCTAATTAAAAAATGTCAGTTTTAAACCGTTTTCATTCTGGAACAAGTATTTACATTGTAAAAACGACATAAAAATGTATAATGGTTTAAAATTGAATGTCGATGTCCTTGAGCTTCAGTTTACCTCGCCTAATATTAAGTCTGGCCCTGTCAAACAAGGATTATGGGAAAAAGAAACAAACGAAAGTTTCTTATTAATGCAAACTATGATTGAAAATATATTATGACTCACAGTCGTCGTTTCTGCAATAAAAATTAAATTTTCGATCCATTAATTTGAAAACGTTGGACATCCCTGTATTAGGGCCTCGCATCGTTTGAATCCGGATCTGGTCCATGAGCGCAGCAAAAGTACGCAAAATATCTATCGCCATATATGTAATCAAGTGTATAAATATTCGGCTTTGGGCATTTTTGAAGAAATGACTGAAACCCACAACTATGCTACAGATGTGACAAAAACGGAACCGCTCTTTTTCAATCAAACTACAGAACTTACTAAAGCAGTTGGCACCAAATGGAAACATTGTAGTCATTTAGGTCGATTAAGTTTTAGGCGGATCAACCTACTGCCTAGGTTGCGGTTTACATAGGATTGCGTCGAAAAGCATATCGTTCTTTTAATAAGGCTTGACTCACACTGAACGAAGTAAGGGTGTACACCAGTTTTTACATTCTACAACAACAATTTAATTCGTTTCGATTATTTTAAGTTGCATTTGGCGACTCCTATAATTTATATATACTAAAGATCCGCGAAAAATAATATTTTCGATTTATCAACGACAAATATACAAAATATGAAAATCGATATCCATTTATTAAATAACACGTTTTTATTCAAAACAACTGCAAAACATAGATTATCAATCAGTCAAAACGTGTAGGAGAGATTTCTTGCTGTCGACAAAATGAAAAAAAATGGCGTTATCGACCAGGTCTTATTTTAAGGAGATGGCTTAAAATCATTTTTAAAATTCAGGATAAGTCTTATTTTCGAGGAAACACGGTAGGCTACATCCAATGTCTTCCAACCGTATCACTCTTTAGATACAAGAAGGTCTGGCGAGTATCTGTGTATGCGCTACTGCTGTTATGGATTTTAAAATTTAATATTAGTTTTCAAAGGGGGGGGGGGGGGGGGGTATGAGATTTCTATTTGCCAAGTTAGATTGAAACAGCTAGCGAGTCCGGTCGAATTCTGGAAACAAACAAACTTTAAATATTGTACGTGTACATTTGTAATTTAGATGTGAATTTTGATTGCTTCACGTATTTCAAAGACTTTTTCTATAATATTACATGATGCCCAAAAAACTTGAATAAGGTAGATAAAAATTACGTCATGGAGTAAATAATGCTCTAATCCAGTGGTTCTTAAAGTATGGGTCGCGACCCAAACATGGGTCGCGGAAGGTTTAAAAGTGGGTCGCGACAAGGTCTTAAATGCAAGGGAAATCTAAGAGAAAAAGGACGAATTTTCAGCTTTCCCAATGTTTCAATTTAGCTTCTAAACTCTGGTATTTAAAAATAATGGAATATAAAGTTTCATTCACGGAAAGAACTGTCTTGAGCTCATTGTTACATCACAATTCTGATATGCCAGTTACGTGTATTATTTTATGGCATCGGTAACCATGCACGTCGCTTGTCGTTGTGTTGACCTCGCGGGATGTCGTCTTAGAGGATTAAAATAACTAAAAACGGGTGTCTTTTTGGTAATGTAAATTGTAATAGACGACGCAATGAAAAAGCTCGAATCTCAACATTAAATTATTCAATATCTAGACAAAATGTGACTTCATCTCGAGTCACCATTTACCGCGAACGAAGCAGTGTGTGCACATTTGATGAGTAAAAAGTTGTATATCGCGAGAGATATCAAAAGCCAGCTAGGATGTCGTGTTTGCGACGGACAGCGGACGAGGTTTCTGCTACAATTCGCGACAAGGCACTTACTTGTTCGAGTGAGGATTTTTGGCACTGACGGTTATTAAAACTAAGCTCGCAATCGCATCGATTCCCGTGACAACTTGCGTATTGCGCTCAGTAAAATTGAGCTGTGTATTGAATATATAAGAAAAGAATGGACTGTTTCTAATAAATAGTTGTCTGTATTTGAGTCAAACTGTACTAACATTAAAAACACATTTTGCGTTACTTAGGATTGGGTCGCGAGTATTCGTGAAACTCAGATTTGGGTCGCGCTCCAAAAAGTTTAAGAACCACTGCTCTAATCAATACCGTAAGGCCTGACAGCATTGAGTTGTTAAAATTATCGGCGGACAACTAGAACAGTAACTCGCAAAACGATCCTAATGTACACTTGGGACTTTCAGGGGAGATTCAAATTCTCAACTAGGATACAACAACGTAGAATTGCCAAATATATTATTTTGTACAAGTTCATTTATTTTCGAATACAATGTTTGTACTTATGTTTCAATGATGTAGTTTTCTAGGATCCATAAAGTTGAATGAATTCGCTTCAGTCTCCAGACCTACATACCAAGAGATACTTCGAATCACCGAACAGAATATCTACATTTGATGAAATCAATTTCTGGTGCACATAATTGAGGCAGAATCGATCACTTCAATACGTTTTTCATTTGTTGAATTACTTTAGTTTTTTTGATTACATATTTTAAAAAGCATAATTACTATGAAGCATGGTGTCCGGAATGTTGCAAAGTTCGTACCCTTGTCGACATGGTTAAATTCTTTTTGGTATTAGTGCCGTTCATATTTGTCGAGCTCACATTGTGAGAGTATGCCGAACCGCGCTCGTGTCTTGATACTAGTGCTCTACAGCAAGCACTTTTCATTGAACCACTGAGTGACAGAAAGCATGCTCTGAACTCCATACTTCGCACGTTGTAAATAAAAAAGTTCCACAGACTATTCGACATTAAGATGAACGCTGACACAGCTTCTAATGACAACACAAGTACGGCCGTTGGCATGTGAAATTCTGTAGGTACGTCATAATGAATTCCGGTGATAAATAACTCTGACACCAACACGGTCGCAACTGGAACGATGCATAACGAAAATACGCCAACCATAATGGATAAAGTTTTAGCCAGCTGTGCCTCCAAATTCACTGATAGTACAGTCGTCTCAGAAAACCTAATTTTTGGTCGAACCTGTGCATTTCTTCTTGAATAGGTGAAGGTTGCGATATTCAATGACCATACGAGAAAGAGAGGGATTGCAAATGTTATGATGTACAAAACCAATGCTACCTCTCCCCCTCCTAATGAAACAAGTATAGATGCAACTCTCATGTAATAAAGATCGTCGACAAATAGAGGCAAAATAGAATAAATGACTCCGATTACCCATAAAACTGCGACGCATTTCTTTGCAATTGATCTAGCCCTAAACTGATTGTATTCAAGAGGGCGGTGCACAACGAGGAATCTATCAAAGCTGGCGATTACAAGAGTGTACATCGAGACGAATAGAGAGAGTGCAGTGAAAACTCCACCAAACTTGAAGAACTTTTGATTGTAATTATCGATGGTTAACCGAGTTCCGTTTCTTCCGCTCCCGTAACTGTATTCAACAACTTCGGACTCGATGACTTCATATTGTGATAAGAAACCTCTACGCATGGTGCAAATAATTACTGGAAACACGAATAATCCACATAGTAAATCGGCTGCTGCCAAAGACATTTTGTATATCCCTTGGCTATTCATCAAGCGTCGATTCATACCAAAGACCAGCAAAACAGTGCCGTTGGCGAGAACGATAATAAATCCAAGAAGTCCACCCGCTACCATCATAATATACATGTTGATTGCACATCTGTGAATGAAAGTGTTTGTTTAATTATAATATCCAGAAGTATCTGCGACATCAACCGGGAAAATTTATTCAAAAGTGGAACCCCAATATAGAGTATTAATTTATAAAAGAATGATATAATGTCTGTCGTGGTCTATAGACCTTACATAATTATATTACTTATTGAGTCTAAAATCTTCAACTCAAACCCCATATATTGTCAAAGTCACACGCTCTCTTGCACATTCGGTGTACGAATGCTGTTTAGTTAATGATTTAAGGTTCAAGCAATGTTAGTCCATTGAATGACCAAGTTTATATGCTCCCCAAGTCGTAATAAGCAGTATTGACCACAGACACAGTATCCTTTGGACAATTCAAGATTTGCTAGCGTACCCCAAAAATTGTACTGTGTGCTGTGATTGGACAAAATAATAAGGTAAATGTAGTTGAAGCTTCTATTTCGATGAAATTGTGACTTCCTAATGGGTTGTTAAACTCGGGCACACAAGCTTTAAAAACTGAAACATAATTATAAAAAGCGGAATTAAGGGGGGTGTTATTGTGGCCATTTTCTTGTCGATGAACGGAAAAAAATTAAAACTTACTTCGAAGGCATGCAAAGTGAATCCGTGATTGTTTCCGTTTCAAAAGTATCAGCCCTGAAAGCACACCAAGAAATATCGCAAAACGCTAATTCGCTTTGTTTTATTTCATAGTATTTCCCAACTGAGATCTCTTGAACGTTGACAAGGGCTGCTTGTACACAAGGTTTCATCTGGTCAACCATACGTAAATTGTCAGCAAGATGATCAGAGTGAACAAGGTTTATCCATGCATTATCGTATACCGATGGTGTCGCAAATGTTGTGTAATTCGTGAGGTCATTCTGGTTATTGTGCGGAGTCATTCCTGATCCCTCTGATTCATTTATTAAATTCGAATATAAAACCGAATCTTGTTTTATGAGTTCTTTTATGTCTTCTTTGCATTCAGATACAAACTTATTTGGATCACAAAATCGGTCATACACTAGATTCGTGAACTTGCTGAAACCGAAATATCTCATTGTGCACTCTTCCTCGAATTTTGGACACTGCCAGGTTTTAAGAGCACGCAGAAGATCAGCCAGCTTAATTGTAGAATGATTCCAATATATTCTAAATATATCATATACTTCATCGCAACATATTGTTTTCAAAGTATCATTTTTCAAAATCCAATCAAGGTTCAAATCATATTTACATGTGATTCCGTATGGATTGTTAGTTTGATGAAAAGTTGCAACAACTGTTTCGTTTTGAGTTTCAGTTGTCAGTGCAACTCTTGATTCCTCCGAATTCCCTGCAGTAACAATTTTAGGATTGTGTTCTCCCAAAGCAATTTTAAAAAATATTGTAAATACAGCTAGGACAAGTTTTTGATTCATTTTCTTTTTTTTTTAAATAAACCTGAATTAACGAATACAAGGACAAATTATTATATAGTTCTCGCTGAAAACAATGAAATTATAAATCGTCAATTGAATCGTCAATCGTCAATGTTTTATAATCAGTATTACGAATACAAAATTTCTAATTTTAGTACGAGTCTATTATAATAATAAACTACAGCATATTCTATCGTCATTAACTTAACCTAGATATACCACAACACTTAGATTAATATTACTCGACCTGTCGCTAGTATATTAACTTAATTTGGTAATAAAAGTAGAATAGTATAGGATTTGCATATTTATCCCAGGGGACGCAAGCCGATAAGATGGCATAACAATATGGCGAACCACATCTTCTCTCCCGGTTACTAGTCCACGTCGGGTATGAGATTAGTCAGCCAGTTGTTTCAGTTGCATGAAACTAGTGGGGAAGCGGACATTGGTGACGTGAACCACCCTACGGCAACAATCCCCTTTCACATATTATTTCCCACGGGATTCGAACCTGCGAACCTACGCAGGGTAGTATTAGAGGTGCCGTGGCAAGCGCATTCCAAACGCGTAGCAATACCGACAAGATTATTCAAGTAATCACACCAGAATAAAATTCCAGTATCCGGGCATGACCCCCAATGCCATTCGCGTGCCATTATTCTCTCCACCCTAAATGTATGTCAAAACAATTTACTTTCTATGGTTGCACAAGTAGCGTAACAAAAATCTATATACGGAAGTAGGTTTATCTCCAATCAGAAATAGTTTTTCTGATCCATTTTAAGCCGAAGTTTCACACCTTTATTCTGTACTGTGGTAAAATTTCATTAAAACACAAGTACCCGGTAGCACGTTTCAAGCAAATCTATGTTTAAGTCTTAAATCTGGATGGCAAAATAACATGTTTTGACTTTCGAAACAGACATTAATTTAAGATTGACATAAAATTAGAGGAAACCTTATTGTTTTCCAAGTTCAAAAACCACACAACACATTCATGGAATTTCTAAAATTTGGTACGTGTCGGAACACACAGTATCTTATTAATTCACCAATTCCACTATTAACAAAACATGTGCTTCGAATAAAAGCTTAATGAGTGTTAGATTGCGCTATTTTGGATAATTGTGTTGCAGACAATTTTGACATTTCACTGTAATTACCCGTACATGGTGCATACAGCTCTATTTTAATAACATTTTCAAAGGCTCTTACCGTAAACGGAACAGATTCAAACAGCAATTAGCTTCACACCGCGATAAATCCCATAATTAGTTTATAGATAATAATTACCCCAAGTGTTTCGAAAATATCTTGATATTTGTTGTAAACAGAATTTAACTAGTAATTGCAGGAAAACTACATAAAAAGATGCTTTTTATAGAGGATTTTTGAGGTAATTATTTTATTTTTACGCGGCCTGGTCGCCTGATTATCAGTTCATGTAGGTAATCAAATAAACTTGTTTCGGGCGTGACTAAACATTGTTGAAGATGTGCAGATGATAAATATTGTTAATTTTATCAAAAATTCACTTTTGGTGATTTTTTCGGATCTCATATATTCGCTTCAATCCTGTAGAGTAGACAACACACCAATTATGCATAAGAGCTTTTACGCCTGAGAGGACCGAAATTCTTCGTCTGATAATACGTCTTAACAACGAACCGTCGCCAGGGCATAATGTTCTACTCGTCATTTTTATTTTTCAAGTTGATAAAATGGTTTTAAAATTCAATTCATTCTACCATTTGCATGTCGGTTAATTGATCTTTATAATAAACCGCAAAAAATAGATAAATTATGCTTAATATCCTTCTCTCAAAAAAGAACTTTCGACCCCTGACTTCCTCTCGTTTGATGTAAAACCTATTTTATTTTGAGACGATATAATTACAATAATTACAGCTATATGGTGATTAAATTTGAGCTAACCAGCTATTAAACTTGTACATTCACGACCACGAACAATTATTATATAGCAAATCATGGTGAATGTACCAAAATGCATTACTGCGTAAAATAAAAATTAAGCATGATGGTCATTTTGGGTCATGGAAAATAAATATTAACCAATTTCAACTTGGGATATTTTTTTTTTGAATCAAAATAATCCAAAATTAGCATCCTTCTGTTGAAATTTATTTGATCACCTTCTTTTATTAGCAAGAAAATTGAATTAAGAAATTCAAATATAAGTATAACGAAATTCTGTTCTATCGTAAGTTGGCATTAATGTCGGATCAACAGTTCAATTTAACACTTTGTTCGCTGTATTAAAACTCAGTCATGAATTCAGATCGATGTAATTATCACCGACTTCTTCGTAGTACAGAAATTAAAACTTACCGCTACATAAATTTTTTTAGCATTTTATTTTAATTCGAAACTCAGTATGCCTAATTAAAACCAAGCTAAATCTTTCACTATTGTTATCTTGTGAATGCATCAACTGAACATTTTTGTTGTCAAATATTCTGTCCAGTATAACGCGTCTACTTGTTTAACTTCACAGCGCCTCATATTAGGATCAATATGTTCATGATATATTTGATAGCATTAAAATAAACTCTCAGTTCTATGCTATGTATCGTATGCAGGCTGATCTATTTATGAAGAGAAGTGCTGTTGTGGCTCACTCAGTTTATCGTGCGAAAATAGAAACAAGAATGATTTGCATAGCAGTATGGTGGAATTGAATGAAACACAAATAGCCTTCCTTTGGAAACAGTTTCAGACCGGTATGTTTTCAATAACAATTTAAATTGCTGCAAGAACTTTGTAAATACAACATGCCGTTGTATCTGAAATTTCTTACTAATTACAACTTTGCATATAAACAAAAACGTTCATCGTTTATAACACACAACTGATGAGTTTACTCAATATGAAGAAAATCAGTAATGACATAAACCAAAATGCTTCAACTTCATTTAAAAAATTTACCTTAAACATTTGTCGTAAATAATTGAAATTGTATTTCACCTTTCTCGACATTAAACCTGTAATCTTATTACCTATACGATGCAAAGCTTTATTCTTCTGTAGTTGTACAATTTTTTGCTATACTGCATCTTGGAAATTTTCTCGCACACCCCCAGCATCACTAAAACTGCAACTGAATTTTATCTTGTTTTATTCAAATGTTTTCTTCACTTTATCTCATAATTAAAATCAAATTATCTTTTGGTGGCGCCTGTCTCTAGTTTACGGTAGCTCGATTTCTGCGAAGCACAATTAGGAAAGTATCATAAATGTAGGAAATCTCTCATTAAAAACTGAAAATTAGTTGGTTTAATGGTGATATAATTTACATATTATATGATAGTGTACAGCATTCATTTTTTTCTTGATCAACCATGAGACACACTGTCCGTGTGTGCACAATTGTAGTTACTTGCGTAACGAAACAATTATTTGATTTTTTATTTGTACCATGGTTGGAATTTCGAATTACTGAAAAATTCTAGTAATGTTGAAACGCTTTTACAGTGTATATTTCTACAATGTTTTGAATTTCCGATGTTTTTTCTATAAATGATTAAACGTTATTTTTGAATTCTCAATTGACTTTTCATTATGACTTCGGGGCATTTTACAACAATTATGCAGGAAATGATTAGTTTTAAGTGTTTGAAAATTTAAATCTATTTTAATTTCCGATACAAGTACCTATCTATTTTTGCAACTTCATATCCATTTGCAAGACAATCCTGGCAACATAGTAAACATTCATAATGTGGATCCTGTACCTCTAATGCAATATCAGATCTTTTCATCCTAAAAATCATTTAATATTAATATTGTGCAACGATTGCAAGTTGTTATAAGCTGCTCAAGCGAATAGGCAACAAACCCGAACTCGACCAAAACCTAAAATCTTTCATGAACAGGCCAGCAACCTGCAAAAATAAAAATTAATCCCATCACCTTCGTCTTATCCAGCAAGATTTGGGAGGGGTTCAAAAAAACTATTTGTTTTCTCATTGCCAAGACAGTATCAAAAACCCAGACCGGGATTACATAAAATGCTTATTCAAATAGTCTTGCAAATGTTAAATATCATAAATGTATTTTATTATTCAAATCCTGATAATATACCTCTATTTCTGATTCATAACGAGTTTGTGACAAGTTCTAACTTTATTTCCAGGGTATATATTAGCATATTCTCGTGTAAATGATACCGAGGCATTACTGCTACAGTTATGTTTAATAAATGATCAGATGACTATCGAATATTTAATTAAGCGATAATAATTAGGCCAGTGCAGATATATTATATATTCGGGTTGTATTTAAAAGCATATAAAGGTATAATCTGTAGTTATTTTTAGACAAAGAAAATTCCGGAATAAACAAAATTAGTTATTATGAATTTTTAATAATAATAATATTTAATGAGTCTGCTGCTATTCGTGTGAAAATGAATCATACATTTGTATAATTCACTTAACTACGTGATTGTGAAAAATTATTAAATTTTGTGAATTAACTTCCAGAGTAGAAAATCATCCTTAATCTGCAATGAAATTAACGAAACGTAAAGCAAAGTATTCAAGCAAAAATAATTGGTAATCCCATGACGTTAAATACCAATTTGTTTCCGAGAATATTAAATTATTATAAATTCATATAAATTAGCTTTTAAATAGTAATTACTATTTTGTAAGCTTATATATCAAAAAGGTTATAACCTTGATATTAACAATAATGTAATAATTGGAGAAATATTCAGTGAATAATTATAGAAAACCTGGTACATTTATATAATTACATGTTGTGGTGATATGCTCTGCAAAGCAAGTAAAACTTACTTAATTTTGAGGTTATGAAATTATGAAATAATTAACTTATCATCACATCCAATCAAATTTGATGTGCCAAATTTTCCTATTTATGGAAATATTTTTTCGGTTACCAAATCACGGCGTCATCAATATGAAGATTTATTCCCAGAGTTAAACATCCTCTACAAATCTAATACTAACATGCAAAGATGGTTAAATCATTTGTCTATTTTAAAAACCTAAATTTGAAAGGTAGGATTTTGTGTTTGATGCATTTTTATTCACCTTGTGTCGTGAAACTTATTAACAGTATGAATTTGTTGGATTATTTTCATCAATGCAACAAATATTATATTACGTATTCTAGACACATTGTGAAAATGAAAATATTTATATTAACTCAATAAAGAAAAAAATAAAGAAAAATGAGACGAAGTCAATTGAAATATTTAGTGCACTGATCATTAGCAAAACTAGAAGTTGAATATAAGACTTGGCCATGTTTATATTATAGTCTCAACTACGATTTTATATATATCGTCATAACTTTATTCTCGCATGGTTACGACCCAAACTGAGGGGGCGTTAAGTGGGTAACATGAGCCCCTGACATTCGTTCTGCGAAATATGTAAAGACATGTTTTATTAGCTCACAACAAATTTGTGAAATAGTTATATTATTATTTTCTATCAAGAGATACCTTTTTTGGAGTACAATGGTCAATTACTGATCCAGCATGGGCCAAAGATAAGACAACATTATCCTAACTGACTCATACTCGGTCAGGCATGGGAGTGGGTAGGATTTCGTCAATGATAAAACGCAGCAAGGGTAACATTACAAATGAGAGATCTGCTTAATTTACAAATTTGCTATTTTACGTGACCGTATGCCGATGAAAAAGGGGTATTATTTAGAATAAAAATCCCTTTTTCCGGCTTGCTACCTGGGAACAACTTTTAGGTAAATCAGAAGAAATCATTTCAATGACACTGGTGTACTGGTGCAATGATATTCATGCTTCTGTTTGTATTTAATTTTGTGAATGGAAAGGAGGAAGAATATTTTTTTAGTTAGTTCGTGTGTGTTACTATCATTTTGTTTTATTTACATCTTCATATTTTATATGTAATTGTTAAGTTTGATGATAACTTTATGATTCAAGTTGTTTAGAGTATGTGTATCAGAAATTTCTCATTTAAACTCAGTACAGTGTTTTTAGTGTGTTATTTCTTTCCCATTAGGAATTTACGCTCTACATTTTGATAAACAAATGGAGAATCCGCCTTCATCTTTAGCTCTTGTGAGACGCCGTAGACAGGCAAGATTACGTCGGTCGTTGCATGATGTTACAGATGGTGAGCGTGGTAGCTAATTTTTATTTATTAGAAGGTCTATCAGAGTTATCGTTGTTCTTCTACTCAAAGATGCAAGTGGATCACTTTCTATTTATCTTAGTCTGAATACTAGATTACAAGTTTGATACTAAATATTTTCTCCGTTGTTGGAATAAGATCAAGATGGCGTGATCTAACATTATAAGTACTAAAAATAATGAAAAACGTTTACCAATTTCAAGTTAATGCCCAAACCTCGCGCGAAAAACCAACCCTCACGATATTGATTCGAACGGCGATGTCCATTCTAACCGTGTATATAATTGGTGAAACAAAAGGTGATGCCAATTTTGAATTGTACTTGAAATACTTTTATTCGAACAGTTGGATCACTAATTTCAAATTATATTCTGACTCATTTTTACCTGTTTCCCATTCACCAAAGAGTGAAAAATTATTATGGAATGTTTTTACAAATCAATATAGAGGAAATTGAGGATTCCGTCGATTCAAGTTGGATAAGTCTGGCTGATGAGAGTCGATTAATGTGTCATTCTGGTTTTGAACTTGTGTCGAAGCGAAGGGAGGCCAACGCTAGAGAGAGGCTTCGAGTTCGAAATTTAAATTCAGGATTTGCAAAATTACGTCGAATATTGCCGACAGTAAGTTGAGATACTTTTTGAAATGTACCCAAATGCATAATTGTAAATTGAAAAATAATGAATCACATAAAAAAAAACTAACGCTGGATCGATGAAAACCAATAAGAGCCGAACTCTAAGAACTACATATCATTCTAATATTATAAATTCAATTTTGTCGGACAGCTTACGCCTTACGGCAATGATTATCAACCAAGGATCGTTGTCCAAGTCAGAGAACCGTGCGTGATTGGCCCACTACAGAATATTTTCTCGTAATATCAAATGTCCGTATTGCTGCCGATTATAATTCAAAAATTCTTTTTGTTCTAGGTCCCATCAAACCGTAAACCAAGCAAAGTTGACACATTACAGGGGGCAATTGACTACATTTATGAACTTGAAAAAATCCTCGAAGCAACGGGAGGAATACCGAATATCAAGAAAACGATCGGTTCTGCGCCCCATTGCCATTCCCGACAGTCTGTCACTGAACGGCCGTTTATTGACGATGTTTTCACCGATGTTCCGCGCGTACCTCCTATTCGTTACCCTCCGCCATTTAACAGGTTAGTAGGGTAGTTGTATAGAGCGCTCTGAGCTGGATTCACCAATAAGCTAGGTAGGCTGAGCCACGAGCCCATAATGAACTCAAGATTCAATTTTGAACTAATAATATTCATTTCTATCCCGATTTTTCGGGATGCAGAATTTAACCAGGTAAATTACCAGTATTGAATCAAATAGATGAATTTTTCTAAATTTGAAAAACTCTGCCATTTTAACCCAAAAAATTAGGATACCCTGTAAATCAATTAAACACTTTTCACCCTGATATTGCCTTTATTTATTGAAAAATATAAGAAAACAATATATTTTAATCCTAAACTATATCTAAACTCATCTACACAACAACGAATCTATGAATTATATACATGTTTACTATTCAGGGATCTTTTTTATCGTCGACCTGTTTAATTTAGGAAAGAAAATGATAATTTTATGCTTCACAAATGGAATAGCTTAGGCTTAATTTCCTAAATCCGACCCTGATATCGCCCATCTGAACATGAATTCTTTAAAAATGAGATCTACTCACTGTGAATCAAGCGCGCAGAATTGCAATCCTATTTCTCAATTATTCACGGTATACAATTAATAATAATATGATGGTGCTTTTTGTTAGGTCATCATAAGCAATTTATCAAATTTAACGAGACTAGATTCCTTTCAAGATGTTTCAAACATGCAGCCACACAAATAAATAATAATTACGGATTCATCAGCTAAAATGATATATACTTTTATGATTTTTTCAATATATAGTAATTTTTAAAGAATGTGTCAAATTTTTTAGTGTTACCAATCACTTCACGTAGAGTGAATTAAATTAATTTTACGGCGTCGATGTCACGATGATGAAATGCAGAAATAACTGTTTTTTGAAAGTAATTGAATGTGATAAAAACAACTGGATCTAAGTGCAAAATTCATAGTCAGGCCAGACCATGACTTTTGTTATTTTCGATCTTATTATTGGCTCCACATTCCCGGGCAAATAACTAACGATACTTGAACTTCGAAGTATTTTTTAAAATTTGAGATTGTCGGTTGCGTAAATATCAGTTTTTAGTAGAATCATGATTTATATATATCTTTACTTTACAGATATGAAGGTTCAACTTGTTGCTTACTGTGTCCAGAAAGTTCATCGCCACCCTCAAATTTTTTCCCGTACACCCAGGTTAGAAGTCCTCTGCAGTTTTCTTCTTTCTATACTAGTGTTTTATAATATAACGAGATATAAGAATTTTCGGTAACCATCCTATTTTCTAAGAATGTCAAGGTAGCCCGTTCAATACGTCAAGCCTTATTCACGCATCGTCTTCAATCGATGTTTATTTTAAATGTAAACCTCAAACAAGCATTGTTTTGCGATGATAAACAAATGAATTGAGCTTTATTAATATTTTTAAATTCATACATAGAATTTTTCGGGAATGTCTTACTTGGCAGTTCCGCCACGTAGCTCTCGATTGTCACCAAATGGTTCAAACGGACTTCCGTCTCCAACATCATCGATGACGTCAGAGGAATCACATCATAACGATCATGGAGGAGTCTCTAGTATGAACCCTGTTAGCAGCAATAAATACAGTTTATCAGCAAGCTATCCTGTTTTGAACCGGCATCCAATAACGGCAAACACAAGCGACCTTGCAGAGAATATTCGCGAAGACGAAAACATGTATGCTGAGTATGAACATACTGAAAACGTGGAACATGAGACACAATATGAATACAATTCACGGCAACCAGAGAGTGAAGACAGTAGTCAACAAAGTGAGTGTTTATTATCATTCTCTCATTAACCGTTCTGGAATTAATACTCTATTCAATTAATATTAAATCTTGTATCATTATTCATCAGTGAGTGCATGTCTTTATTTATCATTGATATTGAAAAGCAATAATCGCCATAACTTATATTGTTGTTTATTATAGAAAATTTCAATATCTCTTCGCTAAATTATTTCCAATCGCCGTTTGAAACAGCGTTGATACATATTGGATAAACTGAAGATGAAGAGTGTTTTATTCTAGTAATTGTGGAATATTACGCTTTTCAGGTGGCCCTAATCCATGTAGCTTTCAGTTGAGTCCATTGTTGCTTTTGTTCAAGTCGAAACCCCAAAGAAGCTTCTAAAATAATGAGCAACTTGTTAGATGGTCACGCAAATGAATGGAATTGCAAGTTGATTACCTTGTTTTGATCAATGTTTCGCGTGTTGCTCAATTGTCTGCTCTGCATCTTATACCCATCTGATACTCGTGGTCCATTGTCCTAATGATCCTTTGACGTCAGAACAGGATATGGAGATACCGCTGGATATTCAATTCATTGTCTCCAATTCGGATGGTTGTACGTGAATAGGCAAGGTCTTGAAATCGGTTTGCCAGCCCCTAAAATGCGTGTAATTTTATATGACGTCTCAGCTGTCCGAACCCATGGATATACCCTATGGATTCTTTTGTCAATCCTGGTTGTAATCACATAATTTGGGGACAAGAATTAATTTAGATAATTAACCACCTTCATTATAAATAGTCTTTACATGTATAAGTTTTTTCGACTTCACCAAATATGACAGAACCCAGTCCATCTGAATTCCCACAACTTTTAATTTGAACAATCCAACTTTTTAATTAAATGGTACAAAAAACATATTGCCTGCCTACAAAGGGTTAAAAAATGTTGTTTAAGTGAAACTTCCTGTGGCAGACAATATATAAAGAGTATTCAAATTGCGCCATACATTGGCACTGATGCGTTAACATTATTTATTTTTAACAATCACCCATGAAAACCTTGATCACGTGATTAATTTACCGTAATCATTTATCCTAAACCATATGACATGAATCTTACGATTGACGTCAATTGTGAAAAGTCTTCTCAAGAGCTGAGCAAATATTTCAAAATTTTTTAAATACCATAAGCATGTAAGAATGAACTTTTTATTACATCATCTATATTACAATGATAATAATGGGAATAGCAATTTCTTTTTTTAAGTTTTTTCCACTTGATTGCCACAAATTCGTACTCTAGAATCAATAACGTAATTTTCAGATAATTTTTAATACACTAAAATAAATTCGCACTGTATTTCGCAAACAGTATTTGAACTGAGTTCTAAAAAAGCGGAAATTAATGTACGCAGCTCTTGAATTTCTAAGTCTGTGTTATATGTTGATATGTTCAGAAAACTATTGTCTCACAGATATGCTCTAGTGCCGAATTCTGATGTCATCCAATTGACAGAACTTAAAACGTAAACCAAAACCTCTGATAGCGTATTCGATGAAATGTAAACATGATTCATAGACTTTCCAGTCGCGATGCTATATATCACTAATTGTGGGAAAACGCCTCATTCAATTTCACATTACCCAAGACGATAAAAATTGGGTAGAGATACTTTTAAGCGCGTGCGGGATGTAATTCAAAACCGGACAGTCAAAATATCGAAGATTAACCGTCCGTAGCAATATGTCACTCAACGAATTCATTTTTTCGTAGTTAAACTGTATGTCATTTAAGGCCCAGTCGTAACTAAAAGAGGCTTGGACGAAGACAAGACTTAAAGTCACATTTACTATTTTTTTTTCAGGTTCATTTCACGTTATCTCGGCCGGAAATTTTTTTATTTCGAAAGTTCCATAAAATACGCGATTAGTCAATTTTACATATGTTCTACAAAGATTATTTCTATTTCTTCTTATTTCTTTTCAATATGAGTTCACCTGCTAAATCGGACTTAAATTTATTTTCCATTGACATTTCTAGGGCGGAATTTATGAACAATTCAAACCTGTAACAAATTCTTTTATAGCCTATCCTTAATTGACTTTATGTAATAAATGTGAAATAACTTAAATTGCGAGATTTTGAATGTAATATCCATGTAACATCCATGTCCATTTTCCATACTTTAAACAATTTTCATACATGTTCTGTGGAAACTAAGCTACCGCTAAACTACTTTCTCATCGTCGTCGTCATGGGTGAAATAGTTTGCTTCTGTAGACTCAGTTCGGTTACATTTTCCCACAAGTAATTTTTTTCTAAAATCGCATTATTTTTTCCAAATCCGAGGAAATGGAATCACACTATGTCACGTTGTTGCTCGTTTCTCTTACTAATTTAAATAAATTATTAGCGCTAACGCGAATTCCCGCATTCCACAAAACCAACATATAGAATTCATGAAAACCAATTCCAGAGTTTCAAAATATCTGTGTTATTTATTCAAATGTTATTTTACAGATATCTACAGAGGAGACAACCAATTTGAGAGTAATATGAAAGATACAACGGAACAACCAAGATCATATTTTCTCTGCGATGAAAATATCAACCGATCTACATTACCACCAGTATCTTTTCTATATGGAAATAATTTAGTTGTGGACGCTTGAATTTTACAATATATATATAAATTTCTGTACCAATCTTTTACAACGTTGTTTATAACATGTTTGAATTTGAGTCGATAGAAAAGGTGCCTTTTCTTTTTTAGGCAGTACTTAAAAATATGTACGATTCATTATATATATATACATTCATTTTCTCAATGCGTTTATGATTTCTAGAAGAGCGTTGGAAAAATATGATATATATATATGGGTGAATGTTACAAACCACCTTTCATAATTCGTTCTATAAAAATTGTAAACGATGTAGTTTCGTTTGCGTTATGTAATTAGCTGATTGAAGGCGACAATCACAACAGTTTATCTTACTCATCACTGGATTGAAATGATACGACAAATTAATATACCTTGATATTTCAAAGCGTGGAATTGTGCAACAAAGAATTGAACAAAATCATTTTCTTACGTCATTATATATTTTGTATATATACAGGGTGTCCAAAAAGTTCCGCCCGATTTCATAACAATACCAATTGCAAATTTGAATAAATTTTGTTGTATGATAAATGGGGACTACAACATTCAACATCTATAACATCCAATTAGAAACAGGTTGACTATAAATCTTTTTTAAAATCGAAAAAATATTAACATTTGATAAGGACTATAAAGACTTTATAATTGGGCGAAAGTTTTTGGACACCCTGTATATATCATAGTTTTTGCAAAATCTTTTCGAAAAATCGAATCATAGAAAATAGGAATGAAAAAAGCAGCAGTGGTAGCGCATTCTAACGACTTTTTTAATATTTATGGAATGAAAGTATACAAAAACATTGTAGCCTACCTTGGGTGCGGAGAGAAGCGATTTTTACAGCTTCAACAACGACAATTAGAGAAGCGCATTTGTGTCCGATTAGATTTTTAAACACCTTGCAATATATATTAAATCATTGCTGACTCTATATAAAAAAAAATGTTTCGTTATTTACTTATCGAGTACCAGATTGGAACATTGACAAGTCTATGCCAAATTAGGAAACCTGAAATATCGGGAAGCTATGCATTGCGCGCACTGACAGAAATCAAGCTATTGCATTTGAGACTTTCTGGAGCACGGCCGTTTCTGCTCATTTTCAGGCAACGGGAGAGAAAAAAGGTACGCTGCATCAAAACATATTGCGACTATTTGGTTACAGAACACAGTGTTACCGAGCATCGTTCTAGGGCTGTGGGCGAAGGTGCCGATCGCGCAGTCATTCAGGGTAGGCCTACATGATGTTTAAGTGTTTCATATATATTCCAATAAAGTATAAAATACATAAAGCGGGCGGATTCAAACCGTACCGGTCATAAAGTTTACGGTTTAGGAAGAATCAACTGTTTAATATGCTGTTTTGTATGATCGTGTCCAGTGTAGTTAAATTGACACCAACTCACTACTAGGTGGCATAAGAGTTTCATGTTGTTTCCATGACGATGGATAGAATATGTCGTGGATTTCTCACCTCCAGTTGCACTGGGTCTATTTCATCGTCCAAAACATGTTGATAAAGATTATAGAAGAATAAGATTTGAGAAAAGTGAGGTGAATTTTTAAACTTCTACTTACGAGAGGCAGCATTTGACAAGACACACCGAAAACAAAATGTCTCGACAAAAAGACAGTAAATCGAGGGGAGAAAAGGGGGCGAGTAGAGGTGGCGGCGGGGCACAATCCGTGTCTATCCCAGCTGTCAGTAATGATATCATACCTGGACGAATGACAGTAGCAGATTGGAATAAAATTTCCGGTGTTGAAGATGACGATGAGTTTGTTTCACAAATTGTTGAGGAAATTTTGGATATTACAATGGACAAATGCTATGATAAATATGTGTGGAAGCAGGCAAGTAAATCTATTGTTGATAATAGTCTCTTTCTCATTGCATATTCAGAATTCGTAAAATGACAAAGCTTGGTTGGAATTTTTGTGTTTGAAAACAGCTTAATCACTTTTGTATGTTGTTTATCTAATTGGGATGAATAAAACTATTTCTCATTCCATACTCTTGATTCTGAGCTGCAAAAAAGGCTCTGAAAAATTTACTATAGGACAAAAGCAACAAATGAACAAAACAAACAATTTTACAAATAATTGGAATATCTACACAGAAAATGAAAGTTGTATTGCACTTACTTTATGCATGGTTAGCTAACAGTTGTAATATAGGCCTATCTAATTGCCAAGTGCAACTGAAAACAGA